GCACGGAGAAGGCCCCGCGCCGGCCGGGCCTGCGAGCCGAATGAGCGGAGCCTGGCTTGGGGTGCTTGCCTGATACTGTGCCGAGCAACCTTCCTCTTCCTTAGCGGTGTTCGGCGTTCGCAGCGTTACCCTCCCGCGGGGAAGCGACGCGCAGCCCATGGAGCCGCGGGGGATCGTCAAGGCCTTTCCCAAGAGGAAGAAGGTGAGGGATGACTCGGGGAAAAGCATCCCTCCAAAGATCACCAAAGAGGAAGGAGCAGGGGTACCTGAGGGTAAGTGCAGTCTGCCCGTCATGCGTATACAGTGCTCATCTCCCAGCTTGTTAACTGGAGATGTGTTTCTCCCAGAGGCTTTTTCTGGCCCAGGTGCTTTTCCTGTAGAGGCCGCGACTGGCAAGGTTTGGTGTGTCCAGCCACAGGCCTGCAGCTGGTGGCCCCCAAAGATTGCCTGCCGCGGTTGATCCCAAGGAGTCCCGCATGAGAGAGGTAGCCTGACTGGTTTGGGACACTCTTTTTCTCACACTGACCTCCTGCCCTGTGTTTTTCCTCAGCAGAGTGGCTGAAACCAGTCACTGCCTATGTGTTGCGAGCTGGCATTGGCCAAGCCAGGGCAGAGATCTTCCACAAGCAAATTGTCCAGAATGGGGGTCGGGTCCACGCCCACCTCTCCTCGGAGGTGACGCACGTCATAGTGGCTGAAGACATGGACTGTGATCGTGCCTTTCGGCTCCTTAAGTTACCCAAGCTACCTTCAGGGTTGCAGCTAGTGAAGGCATCCTGGCTAAGTGCTTGCATTAGAGACCAGAAGCTGCTGAGTACCACTGGCTACAGTGTCTTTATCCCTTGCAGGTATGCAAATCCTAGGCTGTCGTTCTCCCCCACAGTGCCTCTATTCCAAGCTGAGCTGCACTGGTATTTCACCTCTGCTCAAGATCTTAGACTGAAACTCATTGCAGGTCCCTTGGGCATGGCTCAAAGTCATTTCCCCCTGTATAGTTCATGAAATTTAGTCGCTTTGTGACTAGTTACTGGTCTGTGGGATAGCAGAACTTGGAATAGAGCCCGGAAATGCTACCAGGAGTACTGTTGCTTGCTACAGGTGCTCAAGGCAGCTCTTCCTAATCCATCAGTGATAGCAAGGAGGTTTTTTTTTTAGAAATGTTGAGAATTAAATGCTGTTTTTGCTTATTGCAGATGAAAAATAGAGAGAGAACTGACTACTAGGCACGCAAGGAAACACAAACGGAGCAGCAGGCAGCTGCAGGTTAGGATCAAAATGTATTGGCAGAGCTTTGGAGGAAGAGTCTAAGACTAAGGTAGATAGGAGTGAAAGGTGCAGGTCAACGAAGAGAATGGAGACTGGGAGACTGAGCCAAGACCGAAGTAATGAATCTGTGATCTGAGAGAGCAAAATTCTTGTTGGTTGTTTGCTCCGTCCCTAAAAATTGCAGAAGGATTTCCTAGTCAAACATCTGGGGGCTGAGAAGTCTTCCTGCTCTTATGCTCTACTCTTATGCTACCTCTTATGGCAGGTACCTGGAGGAGGGAGAACTGCAAAAACAGCAGCAGCAGAAGCTCCTGGCTAGCAAAGAGATCCAGCCCCAGTCAGGGGACGGAGCTGTGAAACCAAAGGCTGAAGCACGCTTGGGAGATTCCTTGCCGCAAACCCTGGGCATCCTTGGACAGCAGCAGCCAGCTGAGGTGAGGCTTCCAGCACAGGTCATTCTTGTGAATGGGTCCTGCATACTGCTTTTCTTGGCTAAGAGCATCCCTGCAGGGCTATGATGCCAGAAAACATCAGGAAAGCGAAGGCGTTTGGCTATTTCAGTGGATTGGTGCTGGCAGATTTGGGCTGTGGACGTAGTTACTGCTTCTCTTTGTTCCTTTTAGGTGTTAAAAGTGGAAAAAACACCCCTTAAATTCCTGTCTCCATCAAAACATTTCCAGCAGAAGCAGTCCTGGTGCTTTGATCAGGCCAAGGCTCACTCTGGTGATCATGTTTCCTCTGCCTCCTTTTGGGGAATATTCCCTGGCCGAGAATATCTCCCTTTCAGGAAACTCTGATGTTTCATTCTGTGTTCCTGCTTGAGCCATACTGACCCATTCTCCACTTCTTGGCAAGCACCCCATTCAGACACATGTGCAATAGATCAGGTTGCCACTCAAATGATTGTGTGTTGTGCTTAAAATATCCATGCTGGGTTATTAATGGCCTCTGCTGTGAGTCGCCTTCTCCAGACCCGACCTTAGCTATCTTTTCTTTTTCTGCATTTTGCTCATGTTTGCTGTTTTTTTTTTTTTTTTGGCGTTGGCATCGTCCAGATCTATCTGTAGCAAAGTTACTCCAGACCTCTGGGAGCCACAGCCATCTCATAGTGCTCTGATGCCAAGTTTGCCTGCACACTCCAAAATCACAGTTGCCAATTCTGTTTCATAAAACCCTGCAGCTCCTGCCTAGCTGGCAGCCCACTGAGGGCTCCTTTGTTTTGGGCTTTCCCCTTCTCTTGAATGTGTATGTGGGGAGCGCCTTCTCAGACTTACTATCCAGTGTGTTATAGACAGAATTGGCTGCTGCTTTCTAATCTCTTCATCAGCTTTGCTGTTAGCCCATCTTTATTGTTTCTTGTAACTCTGGTTAATTTAATGGCAGTCTTTATTAACGAATCTCACCCTTAACTGAAGGAAAGGGCTTTTGTACTCTTATGGATCCCGTGGCAGCTGCCTTGCTTTCTGCTCACGTTTACTTTAGTGATCAGACAGCAGTTAGAGTCTGTTTGAAACCGTATTGCTTTTTTTTCTTTTAAATTGCTTCAAACGATGATATTTTCTGTGGTTAATCTGTGCCCAGAACCATCTGCAGACTGGAGAAAAATCTCTTGGCTCAAGCTTTGGACTAGGTTAGTTTGGGGAGGAGAGGAGAATCCATTGGACATACTTTAAAGACAGTGCCAAGTACTTTTAAGACCTAGCTCTAACAGAAAAGCTGAAGCTGAACTCTTAGGTTGGAAATAGCCTCCATTTAAGCACAGCGTCCTTTCTAGCTTGGGCGAATGTTCTTCTCTAGGGCATGGTGAGTGTTCCAGTATTTTATACCGGACAAGGGCTGCTCCGGGAGGTCCTGTGTTTGGATGTGAGCTCTCTGTGAGGGAACTCTGTTATTGGTTGGTAGTTTCCTGCAGAGCAGCATTCGCAAGTTGTGCCAATTATTTGCAGACTGAATTGTGGGGCTGTTGCTCCAAGCTGCTTGCCTCCTTCTCAGGCAGTGTATTGCCTCAACTACTGGCCGTCAGCTGCTATCCTGGGTCCTGTGCTCTGCTGCAGACAAAACCATGCACATCTCATTCTCACCCAGCTCTAGCACACGATGGCAGTCAGCTGCTACAGGATTCTGAAGTAGCTTAGAAGCTCGCAGGATTAATCAGATTTGTGTGTTTTTGTAAGGAATCCATCAGCTTTGGCAAAGCATGGGAGATTCTGGGGTTTGTGTACAATTTTACCTCTCTGACACTGCTGGCTGAGGAAATAGGAATGGCATGCTCCACCTTTGGAGACATCTGCGTAGTGCTGGGTCAAATGCTCCTGAAATGCTCTTAAGGCACTTGCTAGCCAAACTGCATGCTCTAAGGCTGTGTGGCCCTCAGAGGGAACATAGCGTCTTAAGGGAGTCACGTGTACAGAGTTTCAAGGTGAATAAAACTAGTTTATCAAAACCTCAGTCTGACCCAGTTTGCAGAGTTTATAAAATAAGATCACAAAAGGGAAAGCAAATGAACATCCTGTCTCTTCTCCCTAAAGGCTTCAGCTCTGTATTTTGTAAATCCTGCAGGAATTGTCTCCAGACCTCCCCAGGCAGCAGAACCAGAGGCGGGCTCTGCCTTAGTCAGGCTAGCACTCATCAGAAACTTATAACAGGACTTATGTGCCACATGTAACTGCTGGGCTCATCCCAAGCAGCCCTCTGCCGTTTGAAGTTGCTTTCACGGTACAGGAACTCTTGGCTGTTTTTGAGCTCCTGTGTTTGTACGTCAGGAGAGAGGGGGACCCCAGTGAGCAAAGCAGTTTACACAGCCTCTGCTCAGCTTCCCAATTTTATCCCCTTTTGTTCGTTACCTGAAGGCAAGGCTTATTGTTTCTTAAGTCCACACAGAGGCATCCTAATGCTGAGGGTGTCAGCAAATGCATACATTGGATCTTTCTTCTGTCACTGAGGAATGCGGAGTCCTTTGTCTCACTCCTCCTTCCCCCTTTTCTCTTGTAGATAGCCATGAGGGAAAAATGGGAGGTGGTTATTTACTACCCTGTTAAGATTTTCAGTCAGTAATATGAAAACAGAGTTCAACGCATATCTCCTGTGATTTGTGTCTTGGGTTGGAATATGTAGAGTCTGAATGTGAGAGAGAGGTACGCACGCAGCCACCAGAGCAGCGAAAGGTTTCCCTGTGGAAGTAGGGAGTCAGGAGTCCCAAGTCAGGGATTTCAGCATTGTCATGCCAGGTCGCTGGCAGCTGTTGGTCATTTAACCAGTATCTTCCCTCAATTAGGTCTTAGAGGCTTGGCCATAGGAGGTGCAGGTGTACTTGGATCACAGCTGGACAGCAGTCCATTTCCTGTGTTTTGGGCGTCAGAGGTGCGTGTAGCTTCAAAAGGTGCCTACCAAGCTTGGCGGCATTAGGATCTATGGTGTACATACAACCAGCAACTTCCAGAGGCTGCAATTTGAGCATTGCGTGCCCTGGAGGTTGGTTAATGCTCTGACTTTCTACTCTCACGAGTACCCTGTGCCAAGGGGACATATGCGAGGCATGCGGTTATTCTCACATAGCTGCTTCCGATGATGAAGACAGCGAAGGAGAAGATGCTAGCGTCACCCAGGGAGATCTGGAAGCACTGATTTCTGGCTGCTACCCTGTGAAATCATCAGAGGAGACTAGTGACAGCTCTTCCACAGTGGCCCAGCCTACCAGCAAGTGGGTTTGTGCTCGGTCCTCCAACAGCAAGAAGGAGAATCACAACCAGTTTATCACAGAGAAGCTGGAAGTGCTGGCAAAGGCCTATTCTGTCCAGGGGGACAAGTGGAGAGCTCTGGGCTACTCCAAAGCCATCAATGCACTCAAGAGCTACCACAAACCAGTCACGTCCTACCAGGTAAAACACTTTCCCAGAATGGTGGAGCAGGGAGATGGACCTAGCATCCTGGCTCTGTTTTGAGCCAGATCCCTTCCTTTTTCTCTGTGTGGAATAGCTTATTTTCAGGCCTTGGAAGTTCCCTGCTGGGAGGGTTTTGATGGAAATTGTGCAGCCAGTGCGAGCTGGACTCATTAACCACCTGTAGTGTTTTCAGATCACCAGAAAAGTAGAGTCTGAGCCTTTTAAGGCCAGATCTGAGTGCCCATGAAGTAAATGCCTTCCGCAGCCAGAATGCAGGGATGTTTTCACCTTCCCCTCAAACATCACCAGCTGGCAGGTGTTAGAGACAGTCTATGAGACAAGTTGGATCTGAGCATGATTGACTGCGATGGCCCAGCCATTAGGTGTGTCAGTGTTTCGGTCCTCTTCTGCACGCTTCTCTTTCTCCACTTGGCATTACATATGTAAGGCTGGTGCGGAGAGGAGAGCAGCACACGGAACTAGTCCTGTCACTTATCAGTTACTGTTCAGATGGGTAGCCAGGCTCTGAGTGGGTAACAGCTCCTCAGCTCACCTGTGGCCTTCACTTTGCCACTAACTCCTCTCATTTCTTGTGTAGGAAGCCTGTAAAATTCCTGGGATTGGGAAGCGGATGGCAGAGAAGATTTTGGAGATCTTGGAGAGTGGGCATCTGCGCAAGCTGGATCACATCAGTGAGACCGTGCCCGTGCTGGAGTTGTTCTCCAACATTTGGGGAGCAGGGGTCAAGACAGCCCAGATGTGGTACCAACAGGTAAGTTTAGTGCCTACACAAGAGATTCCCAGACTATGGCTTAGAAAACCACTTCTGACACCAGGAGAATTGCCATCACAAATAGTTTCTAGTGCTCAGTGTTCAGGAATGGGCTTTGGGTCTGGTTTTACAGTTGAAGGTACGAAGGCTTGGTCCCGGAGTGGGGGTGTTCAGAGGAAAATGGAGCCCATCTAGCTGGAGCTGAGTTTGGATGGGGCCAGGTAGAGGACCAAGATGTGCAATAGAGGGAGATGGGGAACACACTGCCTTTTGGTTAGCATCACTGCTTGGACCTCATCTTGCACCACTCAAGTAGCATAGCAATGATATTGCTAAGAACCAGCCTTGAGCAAGGACGTCTTGGCCATGAAAGCTCATGATCCAGCTGCTGGTCACATGAGTGATCAACCCACTGGGTGGGTTCCTTCTCTAAAAACAGTTTGTTTTTTGAGCAGTTAATGACAGCTGGCTTCCTGCAGTGTTTGGTATTGTGACTGGATTCTTTCCTATCTAAAATATGGTTGTGTTCACGCTGTAGACTTTCCTTTACTGGGGCTTGATGTCTTTCCTTGAGCTGCATCACCTGTTTTCCCTCAAGCTGTAGGAACACCGTACCTTAAGAACTACTCTTCTGTCAAGTTTAGTTGAGATTCAGCATCATTGTGGGGTGGAGATTAGAGGTGCCTATGGGTAGTGGGATTGCTTAAATCCTTCTCCTTAGGAACCAGACTATAAGCGACGTGCTCTCAGAAGCTGTGACTAGCCTGGACTCGAGAAAGGTTGAATATAATCCCCCCTAAATCTTAGTTGAAAGCATTTGAAAAGTAGAGTCTTAGCAGATGTCTGAATATCATCACACAATCTGAACCAGGGTTTCCGGACGCTGGATGATATCCGCACCAAGGCATCTCTCACCAGCCAGCAGGCCGTGGGACTGAAGCACTATGCGGATTTCCTGGAGCGCATGTCTCGAGAGGAAGCTGCAGAAATAGAACAGACTGTGAGTAGCTCGGCCCCAGGATCTTGGAGCGCGGTGACTGCTGGCATCTGATGGGAGGATGCAGGCTGTGGAAGGGTCCCTCTCTGCTAAAGCTGAGCTCTCCAGCACCCCTGAGCAGTATCAGGGCTTGGGGGACCCTTCTGGGACATGGGCACGCAAAGCACCTGCTTTACCCGGTAGGAGGGTTCAGCAAGGAGGAGGGTATACTTCCTGAGTGCCACTTCCACACCATGCCCCTGCTTTGGAAAAGGCTGCATTGGCATAGTGGAATGAGCAGGTTTCCAGCTCTCTTCCCTGTTCTTCATCTCCTTTGAGATACCTGCTTGCAGCCAAGGCCCCTGAGCTGTCTCCAGGGTGCTTCTCTAAAAGAAGCCGTGAGCACCCTGTGAGCTGGCTGTCAAGCATAGTGTCCAAGCAGGGGTGTCCTAACGGGAAGCAAAGGGGATTCAAGCTGCATAATGGGTGCTGCTTGCTCTAGTAAACCACGACACTCCAGGGTCATGGGGTGCTAAGCCAACGTGCCCTAAAGTGAGCAGAGAGCTAGGGGAGACTGTCATTGCTACCCCCATGCTCTCTGATCACCATGGAAGCAGCAGCCAGCGTGACCCTGTCACTCGGCCACAGGGCCTGGCCACGAAGAATACGCTCCTGCCAGGCTCCTGCTGGGGTGTCAGTCTGGTGTACCGGATTAGCTGTTTCAGCAGTTAGTGGTCCTTTTCCCAGGCAGGCTGGGTTGAGGAGGTAGCTCTTGAGGGTGGGTCTATTGTTAGCTTGATGGGATTACTGTGCTCCCCTCCGTACACACGCACACACCTCTGATCCAGGCCCAGGAGAGAGAATAAGGGATTAGTCACTGTCTGTGCTGCCTGTCACAGGGAGATCTGAGGAGCTTTTAGGCTCTTGGGTGGGGCTGGGAGTTTTCTAGAAATCTTCATTTAAAGTCAGAAGGGGGGGCAAGGGCACTACAGGAGGGGTTGCTACGCATGAGAAAGGCCTGTGGCTTCTTGGAGCACCTCTGGGGCAAAGGTTAATGGGTTTATCTCTTGCTAATGAAGGATGATCCCAAAGAGTGACAAGGGGCTGTGGGCATGGACACAGCCTTTCTGAACCCCATCCCCTATGATGGCCTTGTCAGTGGGCCCCTAATTATTTGTTGCCAGCAGGGTGATTGGCACAGTCAGACAGAGAATACTTTGCTGCTGCCCAAGGACTTGGGAGCCCTTCTCGAGTGTTTAATGAATGAAGCCATCAGAACTAGCGCTGTCTGAGCAGACCAGGGGCTGGGGTCCAGCCCAGGGGTGGCTGCGTTAGGGGAAGATCTGATTATATGTGGCTGGTTGCGGACAGCAGCCTGTTGGCATCAGTTCACTCTAAAACGCTGAGATGGTTGTGGTTTTCCTCAGGAAGCCCAGCTCTCCTTCAGAGGCAGAGACCCAGGCAGGAGTGGAGTCCAAGGGGCGCTTGCAGATTCTCTTCTGTCTTGGGTCCTGCTGGGGAAACTCGCTCTGAGACCATCTCTAGTTCAGGGATCTGTGACCATCTCGTGTTCAACTGATTCTCCTTGTGGCCAGTGGGAGCTTTGTCCTTCTGGCCCACAGGGAGTGCTGAAAACCCTCTGCCCTCCTGTTTTTTTCGGAGACTGAGGGCTCTGGCAGGTTGTGCCCGACCCTGCCAACTCAGTGTTGCTTCATTTCCCAAGCTTGCCCTGGTTGCTGATGGCCTGCTTCGTGGCAGCATCACAGTAGACCGTTGCATTGTATGACTTTGTGCTGGACAGAACTACGTGGGAGCTACCCAAGCTCACGTGGTTCCTGGAAGCAGGCCGGCCACCTTTTCAGGGTAATTTGCTATGCTTGTTGAGCATCTGGTCTGTATGGAGACCCTAAAGCTGCAAGGTGGGGTACAAGGGAGGGTGCAAGATACTTTTCAAGAGAGGGATGAAGAGGCCTCAGACGCCTCATCCCTCTCTTTCTGTTCTTGAAGGTCAGACAAGCAGCCCAGGCCCTGAACCCTCGGCTTGTGTGTGTGGCATGTGGCTCCTACCGTCGAGGGAAGGCCACCTGTGGAGACGTGGATGTGCTGGTCACTCACCCCGATGGGCAGTCTCACCGTGGGGTGTTCAGCAAGCTGCTCGACAGCCTCCGCAGGAGCGGTAAGAGAGCTTAGGGGCTGGCACGTGATGCCCAAAGCAGTTCTCAGCACGGGCAAACAGGAGCTGAGGAAGCAATGAGATCTGAGCTACAAGTGAGTAGCATCCATTGAGGGGCTGGCAACAGTTTCCCAAAAGGTAGGATATGTTGTAAATCCTTAGAGTACTGCACCTGGGTCCTGGCCCTGCTCCTGGCAGTTCCCCAGCCAGCATTAAGGAGGGAGTATTGCTGCAGCTCAGCACAGCTTCTCCTATCTGTGTGGGGCTGTCAGGGCTGAGGCTGGTGTTGGGGACCCTGCAGCACTTACTTTCTGGATAGTGGGAAGCTCTGAGGGGTCAGTCTCTGCCTCTCAACTCCTTCTCTGTGTCTGTTCCCTCTCCCCAGGCTTCCTCACAGACGACTTGGTGAGCCAGGAGGACAACGGTGATCAAAAGAAGTACTTGGGGGTGTGTCGTCTACCCGGGCCAGCCCGGCATCATCGGCGCCTGGACATCATCGTGGTGCCTTACAGCGAGTTCGCCTGTGCCCTGCTCTACTTCACCGGCTCGGCTCACTTCAACCGCTCCATGCGGGCCTTGGCCAAGACCAAGGGCATGAGTCTGTCAGAGCACGCCCTCAGCTCAGCTGTGGTGCGAGGCCCTGGCGGTGTCAAGGTGGGGTCTGGCCATATCTTACCTACCCCTACTGAAAGAGACGTCTTTGTTCAGCTGGGGCTGCCTTACCGGGAGCCCTCAGAACGGGACTGGTGACACACTGTTGTCACCCAACCCCCTGTACCTGGTGTAGTGCCACTGCTTTGAAGGATGCTGACTCCCCTGGTGCTGCACTGTGGTGACTGTTGTGTCCCTCCCGAAACAGGCTCCTCGCTAGTGCGCAGCCTTGCTGCTAGCAGAGCTTTGTGGCTTTACCCAGCAGAGGGCGTGGGCTGGGACCATGCTGGAAGTGCTGCCTGATGCTACATGCATGCTTTGAGGCGACCAGCTCTCAGGCAGAGCCTGGCTACCAAAGAGAGCTGCTGCCTTCCGCTACCCTAGCGTGATTCTCCCACATATCCCCGGGGAAGCTTCAGAAGGTTGGGCTGGAGAGCCTTGTGATCTAACCCTTCTCAGTGCATGGGAATGGAGGAAGTGGGATGCATCTCTCTCTATGCCTGAACCCAAAAATCGCTGGCCTGGTCTTGAAACAGGCCTTCCCCCTTCTCAGTGCTGCTGGCAAATGCTGCTGCAGGGATTGAAAAGCATCCCCGTGCTGCTGCTGTGTCCTCCCTCCATCTGAGCTGGCTGGGTTCAGCGAGATGGGTCCTCTGGTGGGTCTCGCTGCGTGGGCTGGGCTGCTGTGACTGCCACCGGTCTTCCCTGGTGCTAGGTAAGGCTTGGGGGAGGCTTACCATGCTGTGCCCGCTTGCTCCCAGCCCAGCATGTCCTGGGGATCTCCGTTACAGAGAGCTGTGATTCCCCCCATCTAGGCCTGAGTGCTCCACAGTTTCCCCTTTCCTCCAAGTGCGGGGGGGGAAACGTGAACCTCGTGGCTCAGGGAGGCCATGCTCAGGAAGGGTTTGAATGTAACGGCACTGAGTGTAACCTGGCATGTCTGTGTGTTTGGTGTGTATGAGGCCTGGAGGCAACGGGAGGCAGCAATGAGCATGAGGAGATGGCTCTGGTTTGGGCAAAGCAAAGTTGACCCGTTTTGTATGTGTGGAGGCAGGCCAGGGAGTCACCTGCTCTTGTTGATCAGAGAAGTGAGGGGTGTGTGTGTGTTTATGTGTGTGTGTATGTTTGTGCATAAACGCACGTGTGTGCTAACCCCTTTGATTCCAAGGGAGTAAATTTTATTCCTCAGGAAACCTCAATTATTTTTATATTCTGGAGATGAATTTCCTAGATATTTTCAGTGCTCAGTCTTTGTTGCGGGTGTTGCAGCGGTTCCTCCTGGCAGAGATACTGCTCTGAGGCATCTGCTGCCAGGGGGGCAATGGGTGCGTGTTTCTGTGGTGGGACTGCAGGGCTCCTGCTGGCCTTTCTCCACCAGGACCTGGCCTGGCCTCCTGCTCCCATGTCTTGTGGGGCACCTGGCCACCCCCACTCTGTCCTCTGCTGTGCCCGAGACATGCAGCAGGGATAAGCTGCAAGTTTGTTGCCAGGGCATGCACAAGGGCATTGAACCTGGCGGTTTTGCTCAGTTTCCCTCTGCACTGTCAGGTGTGGCTGTTGGGCGCCAGCAGCGGGGCTCGGGTGTTTGCTGGGGAGGCCTCGACCCAGGGAGTGTCTTTTGTCAGCTCAGCTGCTCTCCCGAATATCTGATGGAAGTGAATGTCTTTTGGCATGTTTTGGTGCTTTGAAAATGGATAATAAATTCCTCATCTTTTTATCTATGACATCTCTCTGTCCTTTTGCTCTCTGCCCTGCAGCTGTTGGGACTCTTCCCTCTGCCTGGCCTGGAGACCCTCCCGTGCTGGCCCAGCTCCCTGTCCTGGGTGCAGGCCGGGACAAAACAGTGGAGACTTTGACACTGTTGTGTCACCTCTTCTGGCTGTCCAGGCAGAGCAGGACCTGGCTCTGTCCTGGCATCCATGTGGCCATGTGGCAGAGCTGGGGCTGGTTGCGTAGAAGCCCAGAGAAGGGAGCAATCCGCCGGCTCTGAGCCCTGGGCTGGGCTCTTCCTCCGGACGTGTGGCCACGAAGGAATTGCCATCAGCTTTCCATATTGTATCAAATATTAGGGCGTGTGGGAACTGTCTGCTGCTTTGTCTCCTGTCTGGAACCTGGGGCACAGCTTGGCCTCTTAAGCATGGGAATACTTTTTTGACCTGGGGGAATCTGAACAGCCTGGAAGCCAAGGGGGATGGGCTAGAAGATCAAACAGTCTGGGCTGGTGGTAGGCTCTGTGCATGGAGATGAGCAGCAAGAAAGATGTCCTCAAGAGGGAGATGGAGAGGGAAAGCTGCTGGGGTGGGCAGAGGCCAGGGCAGGGGCCTGTGAGGAGAGGCGAGGGATGGGCTGGGCTCGCTGGGGGCGAAGGGGGATCAGACCCACTGTGGCGCCATATGGGTGCTGCAGCACCATCAAAGGCTTGGCCCTGCTGTTAGCACTGCTTTTACTAGAGGGGAGGCCGGATGCAGGGAGGTGTGGGGCTGCTCAGAAGTAGGGCTGTTCACCCAGCCCCTCAGGAAGGGGCCCTGGGACCCAAGTTGCCCCTCGGCCCAGCCCCGTTCAGCCCAAGGGAGAATTCACGCTGCAGAATGTGCCCTGTGCCGCAGCTCTCATCCTGGGGTGTCAGGTCGGGGATGCTCAGCCGTCCCCAGGCTGGGGGGCAGATGGCAGAGATACCCCACGAAGGGGAATTTCATCTGCACGGGGGGTGGTGGGCAGAGGGGGGACATAACACCCCTTTCTCTGCAGCCAGCCCTCCGATTCCTGGAGATAGGGTGCCCCAGAAATGCCCGAGGGCCAGGGCTGTGCTGCAGCGAAGCTGGCACCTGAGTGACCCTAGTGCATGCCTATAAAGGGGAGGCTGCTGGGGGGCACCGACAAGCCCAGCCGGCCCAGGGGTTGCAGGGAAGGGGCCTGCTGTCTGTGCATGCATGCCCGCCTCCCAAATCCCTGCCCAAGAGCTGCGGAGGGGGCAGAAGGCCTTCCTGTGGCCAGCGGCAGCTGCAGCCCAGTGAGCCAAGGATGGGGGGTCACCTCCCTTGGGTGGCTTTTAGTGCTGGTGTAAGGCAAAGCCATGCTCCCTCACCACTGTTGGAGGGTGACAGCCCGGCCCCAACGGGATCTGGAAGAGGGAAGGGAGCGATGCGATGGCACCTCGGGCGTCCAGAGGGGTGCTGAGAAGGTGTTACTGCTTCCAGGGATGATGAGAGACCTCGGTGTAGGCAGGGGACGTGGCCCCGCTGTCTTTGACTTGTCCCCTGTGCTGATGGTTTGTTGTTCCCAGGCCCCTCCAAAGGAGTGGTCAGGCTGGGTTGGCTGTGGAGCACATCGCTGGAGACACCATGTGTGCAAAGAAGGGACGAGGCTCGGGGCCTGGAGGGATGGGGCCTCCCAGGGTGTCTAGGAGGAGGCTGGTGGCTGTGGGTGCTGAGCCCCCGGCACGGGTGCAGGAGGGTGAGCGGTGAAGGTTTGAGGCATCTCTAATGGGCTGTCAGCTGGTTGCTGCTTCCCAGGAAGGGGCTCTGGATATTCCCCCTCTCCAGCACACCCCCTTCCTGCCCTCCCTGGCTGTGAGTCTGATCATCCTGAAAATTAAAAATAAACCCAAACGCAGCAGCACTTTGAGACTGAGTGGGAAGTCGGGGAGCAGGGCCGGGCGCTCAGCTCCTGCCGCGAAGCCCCTTGCTGCCACCCCCAAACTCCACCCCCAGCCCTGCCCTGTGCCCCCTCCCCAGCATGGGCACAGACTGGGGGCTGCAGACAAATCCCCCCATCAGGCCCAGGGGTCAACAGAAGAAAAAGCCCAGGTAAGTCCTTGCAGCGCTAAACATTCGGCAGCATTTCCCACCCCAGTCCCTCTCGGGGAGGAGGGCACCCCTCCTCCATCCCCCATGCTAGCCCCAGCGCAGGCTGGCAGAGGGCTTTGGGCTGGGGGAAAAAGGGATGCAGAAGGAGTGTTTTGGCTTATAACGGTGGCACTTGATATTCATGAGTAAATATTTGCTAATGGCAGCAGGGCCAGGCAAATGTAACGGAGCTGCCCCCCCCCGCCGAAGCAGGCAGGGAAATGAATATGAATTTATCATGATTAGGTGAACCCAGCAGGGAGAGCGGGAGAGAAAGGGCTAGGCAGGGAGGGGGCGGGTGAAGATGGATCTGTGCAATAAAATTAAATAAGGACACCAAATAGAGTCACTTCTCACGCGCTCGCCCGCCCTCCCGCGTGCTGGGCCTCTCCCGCCCTCCCTCGCTCCTCTGGCTTTGCTGATTTCTCTCTTTCCTCAAATTTATGAGGCCAATTATGAAGATGAGGTTGGAAGTTCTCGGAAGTTCACTAAATGCAAAGTGCGGTCCCTGCTGTTCCCATCAAATTAATTAACCAAGCGCTATTGATGGCCAGGCGACGTCGGTGTGGCGCAGCGCGTGAGGCAAGGGCTGCTGGGGCGCAGGCGGGGGGTGCGCGTGGGACCCGGCGGGGGTGCGACAGGCCCTGCAGGGCATCCCCGGAGCAGGGGGATGCGGAGCCAGAGAGCCCTGCCAGCGATGCCCCGCCTGGGCGGTGGGAGCAGGGACTCAGCAGGGTCCCGACGTCAGTGCTCAGCATCCCAGTCTCCATTCCCAGGTACCGGTGGTCTCCACCTGGAGGAAGATCCACCCAGGTGATGGCAGGGCCACCGTGATGTGGCCTTTGGTGTGGTGGTCCTCGAGTGATCCGTGCCAGTGGCTCAGGCAGGTGGCAGGGGCAGCCACCATGTTGCCAAGGCATACCAGCTCTTATGGGGCAGTTTCTGAGCCTGGAGTACCCATGACCTGTGCAGCCCTAGGGAAAGGTTTTTTGAGGGAGGTCTGAAATGACCCTAGTGTCTACCACGTTCCTGTGGTGCTATGAGATGCCTCCACCATGCTCGCTGCAGCTCCCACCACTGAGCATCCCTTTGGGGGGCTTGGCGTGGGGGGCTCCGTGGGGGGCCCCGTGGGATGCTGTTGCAGAGCTATTGCAACATGGGGCTGGGGAGAAACAAGTCCCCGTGCTTTTCAAGTTAATCTCAACCCATATTCAAATGGCCTGTCTTTCGCCTGTCTCTTCGGGGAAAATTCACTCAAAGCAGTTTTTATATATCACTCACACAAGTCTCTCAACACTGGTTGCACTACGGCGGGTGCTTGAGGTTGTAAAAAAAGCTGATCCTGAGCCCCCGCAGAAGGGCCTAGTGCTGAGGCTTCAGAACAAGCCCAGGACGACTCGATTTGCTACCCCACGCCTCAGTTTCCCTCCCCCCCATATTTCTGGAGACCATTTGCTCTTTGGCCAGGTGCGTGGCAAACAGCAGCCTGGTTCCCAAGGAGCCTTGGTAGCATTTATTGGCTGTCAGACATGGCCAGCTAACAGCCCCGTCCTTCAGCTGGGTTTGTCCTTCTGGACACCTGGGCAGTAAATGTGGCTGCGAGGAGGAAGGTATAGTTGCAGGGACCTGGAACAGTCAGTTCTCTACAGGCAGCCCTTCCGGCATAGCAGGACCCGGAGGAATGGGAGCTGTTGGTGCTCTTGGCTTTGTAAAGCTGAACCCTTAGCCGTGCCGGCTGCTCCTCAGCTCGTTTGTGTGTCCGTCCGCTGGTTTGCCTGGTCCAGCCCTGCAGCAGTCGCTGATCAGGTGGGAAAATCTCAGCCACCTTGTCCTGCTCCGTAGGATATTCACCCCCAAAGCAGCCTTGTTTCACACTGAATATATGTGCCACAAGTCACATATATATGGCATAGGGACCCTAGCATAGGGACCCTCATCCTCTCTTATGCAGCAGCGACAGGGGGGGTCAGGCGTGTCCAGCGCTGCTGCCCCGTGTGCCCTACGTGGGAGCAGGTTTGGAGAAGACCCAAGCGTGTCCCGTGAGGAGGTGCCAGCCTCCGTCCGTGCACAGCGGTGGCCGTGTGTCTCAGCCTTTCCTGCTTTCACTTCCCTTCACAGGATTTACTTCTGCCCTGGTGATCGATGGGCTCTCGTTGGGCTGGAAAACAGCACAAACAGAGGCATTTACAAACCCGCTGTCTTTCCAACAGGGCCATAACTCAGGCTCTCCGTCAGCACGGGAAACGGGAGGCAGGCGTTCCTGCTCCGGCTGCAGCGAGAGCGCCGATCCTTCCCCTCTCGTGGCAAATGTGTTACTTGGGGATAATTTAACCTGCTTATGTCAAGTTTTAAAAAGAAATAGACTGGTGGTGCTGTAGCTCCTGACAGTCGTGGCGTACGTGTGTGGCCACACGTGTCTACCCAGAGGAAAAACAAAAAAAAATCACCTAATCTGGATGGTGTGGTTTACAAACGCCTGTATTTTTGGAGCTGGAGCCCTGGTGTGGGGTCTGAGCTCGTGCTGCAGCTCTGCCTTTGGGGGCTGTAGCCAGCCACCACGCTTCCCGACGGTCACAGAACCGTCCGGTTTGCTTGGAATTAGCCAATAGGCTGGAGGTTATTGAGGAGCAAGGGACAGATGTGAAAACACTCTCTGTTCCCCTAATTCAAGTTTCCTTAAGAAATAGCTTGTGAGAAAAAGCAAACCCTGGCTCCACTTGCCTCCTCGGGGCCACGCGTGGTTTCTCACCTGCCCGTCTCCTTGCCAGTCAGAGAGGCTTCATCTCTTGCCTCGCTCCCGGGAGAAGGTGCCTGCGCCTGCCCTCGCTGCACAGCTGCCCCGTTTGGGGCCCGGCTCTGCAGCACGCTGGAGGTGAATC